GCGGGTTTCCCCCTTGAGGAAGGGCTATCTCAAGAGCCTCACTATCAAGCTATCACTGCCCTCTGCCATAATCTCTCAGTTACGTCATCAATGTTGATTTAGGCGGCGACTAGTAATAGTCGGAACGGTGTTGGAGGCGGGCGACCTAGCGGCAGCCGAGCGCCTCTCCCGTCGAGCCGGTTCGCTACGTACCGCCATGCCGCCGCCACGGCGATCATCTCACTCAATCGGTCATCCGTCGCGATGATCGTCGCCGTTTTTTCACGCTCACCATCGCGAGCGCGTTACCTGGCGCCGGGATGTTTTGCTACAGTTTGGCGTATCGATACCTTTGCCGTTTTCGCACTTTTGTCCTATGATTAATGTATTTTCCATTCATGTTTGACAATGGATTCTGATCGGCTGATGGTAGTGGTGAGTTTCCGGTGCAAGTTCATCATTAGCCAATTCGTTCCCATTTTTCTCTGATTGGCATTGCTGAATGGCTTCAGTAGCTGTCTAGAGTCTCTCACGTCTGATCCTCTCAAGGCAAGTCAGGGTTGGCCAGACACTCTTTTCCTTGACATTTGACCTGTTTCCGACATATCACTCGTGGCACGTCGTACGTTGGGAACCCCAACGGGGTCGTACTCAGTCGCTGGAGGAAAGGTAGTCGTACTTGGTCTGAGAAAAATCTTTTCTATTTAATGTCTTTTCCTCTTTCACGGGCGTTATAGAATATAACCCCCCCGGTCCGCCAGTCTGCGCCGCCAGCGCTGCATAACTTAGAAAACTAGTTTTTATAGAATAAATCTAGATGCTACCATAGCTTACTGTAAAACCTATGTTTAGTAGATTAATAGAGCTGTCTACCCTTTCCCTCCCCAACCCCGATTGTAAGTAGGTAAGATCATTAGCCGATTATGGAAGGTGGTCGTACCGGAGGAGGAAATTTGTTGGGGCGGGGCATCACATGGCTGTGAAAGATGGTCGTACCGGAGGTGGGATTCGCGGGGAGGGTATCGTATTCAGGGAAATTCCCCCTCAACAGTGCTGTTCTGATATCACTACCCTCATAGGAGCGTTTGAGAGGCGCCAATCTTGGGCAGGATTCGCCAAGAATAATTACCGGGTGTGGGTTGATCTTTTCCAAACTAAAGCCACCTAAGCTCCGTGGGAATCGCCACGCGCGAGAAGAACCAAGAAAACTGTTGGGCACCTTTTACGCGCTTATGGGGCATATGCCAATATGCTAAGCTCGTGGCAATGACAATTTAACCCCTTTGTGGAGTCCTAGCTACCTCCCCAGGTCTTCTAGCCAGCCAGGCTAGTCGCTGTGTTCTGACTGAGTGACTCTCTCAGTTCTCACTGGCTTGACAAGCCCAAAAACTGAGAAAGGTTTACTTGGAGTTGCCCATCCCATGTGACAGTCAGGAATTACCCACAGTCCATGCCCACCATGGTGAGGTAGTCGCAATAGCCAGTAAACCAGATCCGCGGACTACAGCGACCGCTAGAGTGCCGGTTGTGGGCCCGCTACATTCGAGACAGCTCATCGGGTCGAAGCCTTGCAGTTAAGATTGCCCTCAAGGGGTTTTCTGGTGAAGGGGACTCTCGCCTAGTTTCCTCAGTCAAGCGGTGAGCTCAGGGGCAACCTAAAAACCAGGACAAATTTCGAGATCGTGATGAACTCTAATGTTTTTATTTACATTTCGCCTTCCGATTCCCACTTTCTGTCGTCTGCTCCCTTTGAATATTCGTTTCCACTGATACTACCGTCATTTTTTTCCCGCGTTGCGCTATTTGCGCTACTTGGTTCCATCCCTGTACTTCAGTGTTTACTGTAGGGCTTATAAACGTCATGACCGGTAAACATTGATAATCCCTTATGATAGCCCTAGAAGGGTAATGGTCTCCGTGAGACCACGACGATGCTGCTATCAACAGAACAACAAAAAGTTCGTTGTGAAGAAAGTTTACGGCCCAGTTTGGCTTGGAGGGGGCATTTAGCTGGTTCCCATCGATCAACGCCGATGCCTGTTGTGGAAACCTGTGAACCCTTGTAAAGCTGTTCAATAACACGACCTTCATTTACACTTGGCTAGACTCTACAGGTCTGAACAAGGTGAGACCTGTAGGGACTAACAAAACAAACCAGTAAAAGTGCAAAATTCTTCATTCCCCCGCCTGGGACACAGTGCCAAAGTCATTCCCATTTTTTACAAGTGCTTGTTATTTCATCTATGCATATTGTTTCACTGAACTACCCAATGCTACTCCTTATCATGGGAGCATCTAAATCGGCCCCTTTCCCCCACGCAGGACCTTATAATGGCCCTCTATATTACTGCTAAGTACTATTAATAGATATGTGTTAAATTCGAATCTATTCTTATGTATTACAGAGTACTTTGAAATTTGATGTGGCCAATTCTACCGCCGTCTGCGACATCGCGCGCGCGTCGCAATGTGTAAAATGACGTGATGGCGCGGCGCCAGTATATAATCTGCTGTCAAAACCTACGTGCACATAGTAGTACGCAATTTTTTCGAATATTTTTTGAAAGTCAGTAGTTTTCATCGCTCTGGTGGGGGCATAGACGCCGAGGAAATGTGCCCGTGGATGTCTGGTTGTCTGCGATCTAAGCGACCATATTCTCGTTTATGACGGCCACACCCATCGTTGTTGGTCGACGAACGACGACGATGGTGGCGGGCGGAAACGAAGGGTTTCGCCTTGGTGAGGGCGGGGCGGATGGCGTTCAGTCCGTCGTGCTTGTTCGACGCCTTTCTTCATAAGATGTTTTATTGCCTTTTTGTGTCATCATGCGCTGAACATTCGAGTATTTACTGCTGTTTCTAATAGTCTTTCTTAGTTGATATGATATCATTAACACTTATTGGGCTTGTCGCTTATTACCCAATGACAACGGGTTACCCATTGGGTCAGGTCTCTGGGATTCCGTTCATGGGCGGCACCTGCATTCCCCCTGAGAGAATCTCACCGAAAAAAGAGTTCATTCAAACTTCTTTCCATCGGCTATAAGAGAAACAAATTGAAATCGGCTGTAACTTTCAGTTCTGCTTGACCAGCAGTCTTCCCGACGGTGCGTGCAGAAGCACGTTAACCCAGGATTTCGTCTCACACATATGGACTCAGATAACCTCACCCCCCCTAGTGAAACCTTAAGGTTAACCCAGAGAAGTTATTGACTGTTCCTGATACTCTTTTTCTTCTTCATGTGATATCATTGATACCGTCGGATCTGTTGGGCTTGAGAGCTAGTCACTAGGGTTATGCCTCTGCAGTCTGTGTTAAGCGCGGCTTTGGCTCAGAGGGAGAGAACTTGTCACTAATAACCTTAAGTGAGGGGAGGGTCCCCAACAGGCTCCTTCCCTAAAATGGGATTCATGCAACACAGACGAGTACTCTTAGATGAAGACAGAGAGGGAAAAGTTCCGGTTATTGGACCAATCTAAAGGCAGGGGACACGATGGCTGGAGGGTGGGCGGTTACTCTGAAAGCCATTGGTGGAAAGGCTGCGGGAGGGCGTTCGGCCCACACCCTACTCAGCCCTTCGCCCAATGACAATGGCAGTAATTACTCGCCTCAGCCATCGTGCCCACTTCCTTTGATGGACGTTCTTGTATGAGGTTGTCCCATTTTGATGAAGTCCTTCAAATCCCCCCCCCCCCCCCTCCCTTCAGAACCTAAGAAATTCAATGCTTTGTTGGTAAAGAGGCCAGAGGTGCTGAAATGAATCGAGTTAAGGTTAGCTGTACCCTCCACTTTTGACTGGACAACAAAATTTTGGACAAGGATTACCCAAGGTTTTATAACACCATTACGTGTATGGGTTATGGTACCCTGGAATGTCTTCCTGGACCATGACGCCTTTCGAAAGGCCCCGTCATAGCGAGTTCCCCTTCCATATTTGTTCCAAGAAAACTTGGCATGCCGCCAAATTCCAACGACCATGAAAGATGTAATGCGCTGGGTTCTGTTTACTGGTCTTGCCTCGGTACTCTTTTTATAGATGCACTGCACGTGGACGCGATAGGCTGGGAGGGGGCACGTGTGTTCGGTCAGATGGTTTTCTAATGAATTCCCCAGTTTTCGCCATTTTTTCTCCTGAGTTTTTGATTACTGATGATGATTCTTCTTGGATCACCTGATCAGATCTAACTATCCGCCCAAAAGGCGCCAGCAGGCATCCCAGACCAAGACTTCTCTGGATGAAGCAAGTCCAGCCGTGATCTTCTCTTTTGGGTTCCTTAGACCTTGCCAAGCCAATCGGTTAGGACTAGCTCGTCTTTAGGGCTAATTTAAACCCTCCCGACTGTACTAGGCTCATTTCGCGGTTGAGCCACTCGACGGTCACGACCAGCAGGGTCAGCTTCCGATGACTTTCCGCTGCTGTTCATCTTGTTTGTATTTATGGTGTGCTTTGCAGAGGTTTTGAAGGGTTCGTGCGAGCGAGAACACTAACCAACTGCAAACATTCATGTTTTTCCGTCGTTGTCGTTCAGTTGTCGCCGCGCCCGCCGCTTGACCACGCCCACGAACGGATTCTGCCACAGCAGCATACGCCGCGTTCTTCTGTTTGCTGTTAGTGCATGTCTTCGCTCTTAGTTGTTGGACGTTGTCATCTGTCGGCGCTGTTTGGCCTGGGAGGGGCATTTTGCACCTTCACTAATTCACCTTGCTACTTCCTGCAAATTACACATCTCAGCTTTGTGAACCTGTAAAATCCTGTCAAGTGTAAACAAAGCTCTTGCTACGGAATGGTTCCACAGGAATCAACAGGTTTCCACAGGAAGCGTCGGCAGGAGCTGACGGGAACTAGTGGAATGCCCCCACCAAGCCGAACCGCGCCTCCTCTGTCTATATATCGAACGCATGTCTTACTTGTTATATCCTCACGTGTATTACAGTAACCCCTCAGCCATACTGTAGTAACCTATTCAATCGATTTCAGTACGAAAATCGTCTTTCGAGACTGAGCACTTTTCGTGAGAAAATGATGCCACTACAACTGATTCGTCGTCTGTCATTCAGACATCGTAGGAATCATGAGAATGCAGAGAAGGTGGGTTATCAAAAATGACGTCATTTTCGTCGAATGAGTGACGTCATTTCTCTTGATGACGTCATTCACAGCACTTTTTTTACATCGACACTTTTTCAGAATGCTACCGCTACAATGCGCAAAGCGTCGTCGTGTAAAGGATTGGGACGTGGTGGAGAGAAGGGGACAGGGCATGTGGAGGACAAACCCCGCCTACCGGACGACTTACTCCTGCGCATTGTCGATCAATGCGATGCCATCGAACAAATCCGACTGAGAGCCGTCAACAAAGCGGTGAAGAATCATGTCGATAGGAACATTAAGAAGGTATGAATATGGAGAAATATTGATTTTTTATTTATTTCAATATTAAATTGCAATAAAGAAACATATTTACTGAATATATTTATCATATTAACATTGCTGGTTGATCAGAACGTTAAAAGCAGCCAACATGAAGCTCTCGTTGGCTTCGTTTCGGACCCGTTTTCTGATCGAATCAGAGTTTCCGGTTTTCGGCTTCCGTTTTCCGGCTGTGCCAGGGCTTATTTAATTCGTGAACCCTACTCACATTCGCCCTCACATTTTTTATCACAGGAGCAAGCCAAGTTGATTTGGAACCGTGCCCAGATCCAACCCATTACTTTTTTGGCGTAGGGCCTATTAAAAGCATTTTGGAGGGAGGTTCCTGGTCATGAAGGCCGAGCAATCAAGAACAAGCGATTATCAGCTTGGATTTTCATCAGAAAGGGGTTAGGTACCATTTGGATCATCGCGAGGTGAAAGCCTGCCCACAGAGAGAACTCGTGTTTCAACTACATGGGGTCTAATTATGGCATGGACCGGGTGAGCAGATTTTCAGTTAACGATTGTGCTAGGCACCCTCTTATTAGCTCGGTACATCATGACTTTTTTCAAACCCTCGCTAGTCGTCTAACTTGACCTGGAGCGGCCATACTTCGTTGTATAAGGCCCCATTCCAAGACGTCTTCCAGAGACAAAATCCACTCTATCAATAAAAATAATCGATTAGAACAGTCCGCCACCAATAAAAACTATCGATAATCGATTAGAACCAGTCCAGCACCCATAAAAACACTCAATAATCGATCACAACCAGTCCGCCACCAGTAACAACATGGTCGATGGATTAGAACCATATCCCCACCAATAAAAATAATCAATAATCGATCGGAACCAGTCCGCTACCAATAATGAAAATCGGTGGGAGGTGATTCGTCCCCACAAAATACAATCGATAATCGATTGGTATCAGTCCACCACCAACAAAGACAATCGATAATCGAGTACCACAAAAAAGACATCGATAATTGATTAGAACTAGCTCATCTCTTATAAGGCAGTCGATAACAGATCAGAACCAGTTAGACACCAATAAAACCTCAAACTTTGTTAGAATGGCTACTCTTTGCCGGAACCAAAGGTCTATTTCAATCGATAATTGGAGTGCACTTTTTAGATCACCCACCTCAGTGTCGAGAAACGCGATATCGACACGGCATCGGGTAGAGGTTGGTCACGACATCGACACGCTCAAGTGTCGTTGAAGATGCGTCACAATACAGCAAAAATCGTGGTCGATTCAAGGTAAGCCGTACCATCTTCCCCATATTCATCTGAAATCATTCCCCTTTTACTCTAGTAGGTACCGTAACTAAATTATGCTGAATGTTTATAGAACCGGTGTGGACATCACGTGATTGTCTGGTCCGGTGGTTGGCATGCAATTTGAGCTGTGTCTATAAAATGTAAGAACGAATACTCGCCCGCCACGAGTCGTAGCGCACCGATTCGCCTGAATTGGTCTTCACGTGATGTTTTTATATTGAGCTTTTTAATCTCATAGCCGTCGAGGGGCGGGGGGGAGGTTTTGTAAGTACGGAGGCAGCTGCTCGCTACAAGCAGTGATCCTTCGAGAAGAAGCTAATCGACTGTGGGCTTCCAAAACTTGCAACCACAATTGATTTCCTATATTCCCAGGAAAAAGCACATTAGCGTCGCCCCCAAAATATCACTTGTGAAACCGTGGATGTCTACAAAAAAGAAGATCCCTGGTGCTCGCTCAGAGATACGGACCTGAAAGTAAATGCACGATAGCTTAGGTGGCGGAAATCCCCAACCTGCGTCCTGCAGCGTGAGTTGTTGTTTGGTCTTAGGGAACACCATGCGTGACTACGCTGGCAGCGGGGGAGGGGGCGGGCGGGACACTTTCGCATACTTCTCTCGACAGTGCATGAGAGTAGCGATACAACCGTCGCTGTTACGCCAGTATTGCTTGGACAAAGAAGGGCTCAGTACGGTATTTTTTTCCAAGATAGACTTTTTGGTATCACTTGGGTGCTTCACAGGGTTTCACAGGTTTGCTCTTGATGGCTCGACACGTTAACGTGAAGTAGCGAAATGTGCAGAATGCCCCCCCCCCTCCGCATAGATAATGAAGAATGAAAGAATCCCGCGTGGAACTCGCCATCCATCCGTATTTGTTTCAGCATGGTCTATCTCATTGCTCGGCCCTGGACTGAATCGATGGTTATCGCCCTCTTCCAGAATTGTTTCTATTATGTGAAGGCTGATGGAATGTTCGGATGCAGGAGAATGCATATGGACTTCGTGATTTTGAACCCTGGCACAGGTCTTAGTCTGATCAATTGTGGGTTGTACGAGCAAGGGCCTCTCACAATGTGGCGTGTTTGTGAATAGCACGGTATTACCGTATCTCTTTTAGTCTACTGGCCCAATTATTCCAGAACCTTACCGTACCGATACTCCACTGAGCCATAAACACAGCGCACATCTATGCCAGGTTTTATTGGCGCAGCCGAATTTGGGTGCGTAGTTCTTCGTATAATCAAAGTAATCGCTCGCAAATATCTCAGTAACGCTGCACGAAACGTTCGTTTAAAGCCATCGGAATTAGTATTTTTTCCATTTCCCATCATGATATGGCGCTGAGTGTATACTTTGGGTGTTGGATCGTCGCGAATCCTCTTGCCGGTTTGAAGAATCATGCTTCACCGACTCTCGGGTATGCCACATCCTGCACGGGAATGTCCCTCCAGCACTTGCATCTGTTCTTACACTTCAGCGTTATCCGACGCTGGGTGCGCTAATTCAGGTGTTCGATTGGCTGCTGCACCGAGATGGCTCCCGTGGCTGAGTTGACAGGCATCCTTGTTGAAGACTGTAATAATCCTGAGAAGAAAAGGAGATCGCACCGTTCCGCGCAGGTCCTAGGTCAAAGCTTTTACAGGTTTCGAAAGGAGAGAGACGAGTTATTATCACATGAACAAACATGAGACCCGAGTTGAATGTGCCAAAATGCCCCCTCCAACCGTCCCCCGAACTGCTGCCAACTTGCTCAACAACCGTTCTTAACAAGCTTCTTCTTCAGGTGCTGGGCCGGTTCCGCGGATTTTCGATCACGCTAGGAACAGCAGTTTGGCCGGCATGAAAAAAGCGCAGAGCCGTCATGATGACTTAGCCGCAGAAACGCTGCCAGTGACGCGAAAAACGTTACGCATATCTGACCCTTCTTTTCTCCCTCTTCTTCTTTTATAAGCCTCCAAGTATCAGTCTCTAGCGCTTTACTGATTCTTCTATAATACCATATATTTTGCCAATAGGATCAATTACTCGGTCTAATATGTCTCAGAAATCACGCGCATATAAGACTTCTAGCTCTATTGTACTTAAGGGGGGGGGGCATCCAGCGGCGCGACTGTCTACTCCTCTGCGCTGATTCTGGTCGTCTGTGCTTCTCCCAGGCCGAGCCTGAGAGGCAGATGAACTACCGACTCCATGAGAATGCGCAGTGGAACAGATTGAGTCGCTTCACCGCATGCTTCTTCCCCCTCCCCTTCTCCCCCAAACTAGCGTCACTCTTAAAAGTACCCCACTGGTAATCATTCACTTCGATGCTACGCAGTAATATAGTATTTTCATTTTATTCTATGCTGATAAGACGTCTTTCATAATATTGGTATCGAACTGTTGCACAATGTGTTGGGTGTGTATTTTCACTTTCACCGTAATTCGACTACAGTAATCGTTATGACGAGTTACATATGTAATAGACATATTTTGGTATTATTTTGAAACATGTTTCTTTCGTGATGGCGATGTGCTCTGAGCTGTTTACTGGATAAAATTTCTAAACTTCTATAATCATGTGATGACCCGGAAGTTACGTTTAGTTAGAAGTAGAGCGGTAACTATGCCGTGTCTACGGTGCATTCCACAGATTCCCCTCGGTGAATCAACATTTGTGTACTGTTCCGGTTTCTTTTCTGGTACTGTTGACTACTTCTCAACGAACATGGTCGAAACTGGTACTGACTGTCCCAAAATAGCGTCCCATTGAGCAAATGCAAGCATGGGTCTGAGCAGATTCCTTTGATGGGGATTTTTATCGAATTAGAGGACGTCGCAGGTTGGGAAATAACAGAGGGAGGGATCGGTCTACAGATCTCGGAATCAGAAGGAATGGGAAGCGCTAGTACAAATCCAGCTGGAGCTCCCATGTTCCCAGAGGGTCTGGTGGGTGGGAGTGCGTTAATACTTTGCGTGGACGTTTCGAACGTTTCATGCGCACACCAGAGTGCTCTCGTTAGAGAATAGAAAAGTACAGGTGCCGATCCAGCGTTGTGAGTGCTCTATCATCTGACTGAGCATGCCATTGTGTTCTGCGCAGGCTACAGCATCGTGAAGTGTGAAACGGTGGTAGTACGACAACCCAAGTAAAAGAGGGTCTCGGTACAACACCCCCTCCCTTCCCCAACACCTACCTACCGATTCCCCACATTTTCCAGGTTTCCTCCCAAAGATTTTCCGTCGAGAGGGAGGGTAGGGGGAGGGTGTATAGTACAGCTAAAAGAGGAAAAATCACGAAAAATAAAAACAAACGGGAAAAATTTCTTCCCAACGCGGCAAATTTCTCTCAAGACCTTCCCTCTCCCATCAACGACCAGATACGACCCCCTTCCAGCGGAAAAGCACGACCCCCTATGTGTTCACGCAACCTGTACCCTGATTCTGCGGTTAGCCGCAAATCGATCGAAACGCTGATTGATACCTATACTTCTCTAGTCGCTCAGAATTGACGAAGAGTATGAACACAGCACTAAGCAATCCCAGATCTGTAGTAAGCTGGGACGAGTTAAGATTCTTCGGAAGCATGGACACAGTCCGACAGAACAGTTACCGGAACTCCAAGGCAACCCTTTTTGAACGGCGTAGAAAAAGCTTTGATCAGCAACGTGTCATCAGCCATCTGATAATGAGAGACGTAGCGGACAAAAACGCGGTCGGTCAAGAACGATCACTTGAAATCACTGCCGTGGTTATGGAACCATGTTGAAAAAAACGATGTGCCTTACTTCCCTTCTTCTTTTTTTCAGAATCAAAATGTCGGAGGGCGGTCCCTACACTGTGCGACGCGAATGGGTCAGTAGCTGCAGCAGCCTACCACTTTCTCCGCTGAAAAGTGCATGGGTATAGGGCTGGAGGGCAGTGATAGTTCCGAGGCCGTCTCCCGAATCAGCCCGCGCCCCAATAGGCAGCACTTGCGTCAATACCAAGGCCCCACAGCGAACACATAGCCAGAAGAAAAGAACACTCAGAATTGAGAGGGCGCAGACAATTAGTGCGTTCCGGCTATGGTT